TTGTAAACTCGAACATTCCAGCTTTTCACGCATGTCAAGTGACTGCCCCCCCACCCCCTAGACTGGCCTACACTTCCCCCTGGCCCACGGATTTCCGAACATGCCAGGCGAGCAGACTGCCGCGCCGCGCGTGCCCTGCCCCAACCAGGGTCAACCGTCACGTTCGAACATTTTCGGGATTTTTGCGACCCCCTAGCTCTCGAGGGGGTCCAGTTGCGACCCCCTGTTTTTGTTAATAAGAGTGCTAGACATGAATCCGTTGCGCCAGAAAGCGTCTGCGCGTCGTCGCGTCGGCCTTGGAGCGCGGCAGGTATCACCCGGGCGCTGGAAGAACGGGACGCGGCGAAGAAAAAATTTTAGAGGGGAATAACTTTCTTGGACGTACTTTTTGACTTGTTGAGGTAGATTTTGACTGTGCCTGAGGTGCGCTTTCAGAAAACTACAAGGATTGCCTAACTCTCCGGAAAGTACTTCTGTTAGAAGTGGAAAACCCAAAATTCTAAGAAGGCGCACCTTCAACTTTGAAGGCCCATAAAATCTTTCGTATGCGACATTTTGGAAATCTGTAAAAAGTTTCAGAAACTTCAAATATTTCTCTAACAAAATAGTATAAAAAGTTTAGTGATTGTCCCCTTTTTCAAAAATTGTCCCGTTCGAACATTTTTCGTGCAAAAGCGAGTTTTTGGGCTTTCAGCGACCATAACTCACTTCATTTTCATTTCTGTGATGCACTTTTTTCATGGGGTGAAAGTACAGGATTTGCTCTTTCTAACAAGCCCTGAAACCGTTTTTCAAAGTTTATTTTTCGAGAAAATCACACGTTCGAACATTTTGGGGGGTTTTGCCGAACTTTTTTTGAAATCGCGAATTTTCGGGCTTTAAGCGAGCATAACCCAATTCATTTTCACTTCTGAGATGCACTTTTTCCAACGGTGGTGGAAGGCTGCATTTGGCTCTTTCTGACAAGCTCCGAACCGTTTTTCAAAATCCATTTTCCGAGAAAATCACACGTTCGAACATTTTGTTCCCATAGGTTTTTGAGCAGCACATGCGAGTTTTTGAGCTTTCAGCAATAATAACTTCCTTCAAAGAACTTGTTGGGGAGGGGCGAAGACATTTTTGAAGACTACGCTTTTCTTATGTGCTTTACCGTTGTCTGAGAATCGTCCTCAGAAGATCAGGTCCCGAAGAACTGCTAATCAGCCCCGAAGAGTCAAGCTTCTTAATCAGATGGCATTGTCAACTGTTCTCTATTCCTCAAGGAAAACACCGTAATTTGCCTAAAAACTGTCTCTCTGTGCATAATAATCGAATCTAATGCGGTCTGCACAAACAATTCTTGCCCTCGGATACGCCACGCACGCGCCTGTGGCTGGCAGTCCTCGAAATTGCGACCCCCTTCCGACCAAAATGCGACCCCTTCGTTCGAACAGTTCGAACGGACGGTTGACCCTGCCCAATTAAGTTAGCACCAGAACTAGTTTTTATGGGATGTGCAACAGTAGAAGTACAAGTAATGGAGTGTATCGCAAATGACGAACTCCGACATGGCGGAATGGACGCGTTCTGCCTTTAACCAGGCTCTCAGCGAAACTTCAACAATTCTTGAAGATCATGAGCCGACTGCCGCTTTCATGGCCACCAATTACTACACAAACTTGGGAAACTGTAGCTTTCTTCTATGTACCTGCTGCACGAGTGACGGAGTGCACAGACGATTAAAGAATGGTCCCTGGCTTAGCTTCACATCCTAAGCAGAAAGGTGAGAGCCCTAGGATTAAGCTTTGTTGGAAGAATGGGACTGTGCAGCGCGTGCGCGTTAGTTAACGTACAGTACGGCAAATGTTCTTTGACGTGGTGTCGGCAGCGGTTCAATGCAACCGCAGCTGATAAGGCAGGATCGATGCGCAGAGACGTAGAGCAGGGGCATCGAATTGAGGCGGCTCAAAGAATCTAGTTCAAGTAGTCGTTCAATCCGGACACAAGGAACGAAACATTGGCCGGAGCAACTCCCCTCCCTAATCAGCTTCTCAAAGACTCTCTGATTAAGCTGGTTATTTCAAATTATTTGGGGTAGTCCCAATTGAAACTTTTACATTTAGAGCAACACTGAGTATATCGCGACAAGAACATATCGCTGAGTCTTCGTTAAGGGACACTAGCCATCTTTTTTTTTTACTAAGAAGTTTCGAATAACAAGACACGAGCCTCGTTTGATTTTTTAAGTAATAAGTTTGCAATAACAAATGAGACATACGCTGCGACACATTACAAATAGCTTGCATGCATGCGACAAGTAACGCTCACATAAAGACTATACCAAAAACTTTTTATTCAGGTTCCCATAAAAATTTATTCAACAAATGGAAAGTGGGTAGAGAAAGTCAACAGTGCAACAGTGTCCGACTTCTAGACGAGAACAAAAACAACAACACACTTTTTCAAGGATCAACCAAGCCGTAAAGTTAAGGTACACTGATTCACCGATATTATAGCAATATCATAGACTTCATGTACCCTGAATTATAGATGCACTCGAGTTCGTAAAACACAGCTCAAGGCTCAGCTTTGCGTCAATCGCAGCGCGCCGTGAAGCTAATAAACGAGCAAAGGCTTTATCGCAATTGCGCAGTGCGTCCTTCTCACCGAATGAGCCGCGTAACAGCGTTGCTTGAAAGACAGCAAGCTATTAGAGGGTGCAAAGATATTAACTCGACAGGTAATACTAGGTGTTGTTTGTCATCTCTATGCACTTGAAGCTGGGTAGTGGTAAGGTTGGCCAGGTAAGAGATCATCATATAATCCTGTAACCAAAATTAAAATCAATCTTTGGACCAAATTAGGAAGACTCTGAAATTCATACCCTGAGACTATTCTTAACAAGACTGTCCAATTTTTCTGTTTGCATATGCGTTGCTGCCGTGTTCACAATGTCCATCAATCGACGACCCATTGTTGCATCAGCAGGAAGTTCATCGCGAGATGTAACTTCGTTAACATACCTTCAACATATGGAGAATTAAAAACAATCCAAGAAATGGAACATCTTCAAAGTTCAACAAACTCTAGTAGGCGCTCAAGCCATTCAATTATCTGTGCTATACTTCTCTCGAGTTGTTCAAGTCCACTTTCCATTGTGACCTCACGACGTCTCGAATCCAACGCATTCTAAACAAGTGTTTCTTACCCATATTGATGGTATATTCAACTGTCTCTGGAAAGTTTTAGAACATTTGATACTCACTTCGATCAATTGCATAGCAACACATTCTCCGGGAAAAGCATCGAGTTCCACACGAAGTGGATTAAATATTGCGCAATGAGGATCACGGGCACGAGGAATTCCAGCCAATGTCCTGCAACTCGAAATATTCACACAACAGACATATTATCAGAAAGAACTTAACCAACCTGAGGTATGCTCTCATGGGCACGCGATATTTATCATCGGCGCTGGTAAAGGTTGTATCAAGCGTCAGCAGAATGAGAGGGGGCGACTCTTTCCGAGATACCTAAAAGAACCAATATGTCTATTAAAAACCTTCAAAATCTTTTGAGCGCTGATGGTTGGGCAGGGTTTGCGCCCGCGCTTGCAAAAATCGTTTGTTTGGTTGTATTCCTTTACCGTCTTTCATTACACCGGAAGAACGGTTAACCAATGAGACGCGCGACACAAGCCCAGTCCTTACGATCAGGGTGCTATACTATTTGAGGATTCTTAGCCTCTTTGCTTTTCTTCGTTACTGGATGATTAATTACGAGAATCAGGGAGATACACAGGATGCAAATAAACTAACCTCATTTATGACTCTGTTGTAGTAGTCGTGGTAGATGAGGCAATTGGAAGAAAGATCGGAAGAGGTGTAGAACCTGCAAAATCACTTATACAAGAAGCTTTCTGTTTGAGTAGATGCCAAACGATATCCTACCATCCCACTGGTTGTTCGGTAGGTGCCGCTCTTTTGAGCATCTGAATCATCTGTTGATTGAAGGAATCATCGAGCTCGAGATCGTCTCGTAACTCACTGAATGGAATAGCAAAACAGTTTGTATCACTCTGAAAAAATATCATTCAATATGTCCGGCTTTATACAGAGGCAAATGCAAACCTGCACTGCATCCTTCTCGTAGAAGCCCATGAGTGTGCCCAAAGCTTTATCATTGGCAGGCTGTCCAGCTTTTGTAGGCCGTTGGCGTCGAAGATAAGAATCAACAATCGTCATGTACAACCACAGGATGTACTTTTACCGTCAAATTAGACGCCATCCTGGTAGATGCGAATTTGAGGAATGTAAGTAATCAACAGGACTAGTTTTTTTTTTTACAGTAGAGCAGGTTGAAAACCAAAGCATGAAATAGGTGGTCAGAAAAGGTGAGCATCGTTCTGATATTTATTGCAGTTTCGAAAGGTATATAATAAATCTGACTGATGCAAAAATACAAGCACTTAACCGAATATGTAATCACAGTGTTTTGAGTCTGACTACTGTTTGGAAAAGTTTCATAAAGGGAAAGCATGGAGTTGACTGGAGCATTGAATATAAAGAATGCAAAAAACAGTTAGATTGATAGGACATATAATTAAGAAGTATTTGGAGATGGAAACATCGAAAGTTTAATATATTCAAGTAGATTACTCGGGAACTTCAAACCGGTTTATATAGAAGTAGGAATGTTAGGATGTTGATGGCAGAAGGCGTCTAATGTCTTTTACGCAATCCTTCACTTTCGCTTTCGGAAGAAGTTGCTGTAGTTCCAGCACGATGGAGTTGCTCTGTCGGCATGGGAGGACGATCAGGGCCAACTCCCGGGTAGGGAGGTGGCGCCTCACACATGAATACCGTGTTGGATTGCGGACGATCCGGAAAAGCGTGTGTAGGAGGTTGAAGACCATTGTGACCTAGAATACTCTGATTACTGAAAGTAGTTAGCGCGTGCAAAGTTCCCTTCCCTATGATTAATATCCCACAACCGAGGTATATAATGCTGAGGAGCCGCAAATGCACTACGATGTCTATCAATAATCCTGATTGAATTTTGTGCATAAAAGACGAACATAACATTTTTGTATATAATGCAATGAAGACAGCTCAATTTGAGAGAAATGTAAGAAAAACGTTTCTTCTCATTTGTTCAATACACACTTATGTATTTGATATTTATTAACCAGGACGCAAAAAGTGCCCTATATTTTTCAGTATAATGAATTGACGGAGATACCCTTTGTAGCTTGTCTTCCTATCTAAATTAGAAAAATAAGAAAAGATTTATTGCGCGATCATTAATGTTGTAAAAAAAATGAGAGGCACACAGGAATATTTTCTTTTCGTGAACCACAACCACAACTGAAGAGAAAATAGTGCTCCCGGCCATATCACCAAGTAAGAAGAAAAGAAACAAGGGAAACTCTATTGAATATTTGGAAAAATAAATGTTCTATTCACGTAACTTCTCAGCAAAAGGCTTCAGCTGCGGGTCTAAACGCTAATACAACCAATAACTAGCGCTCGTTCAAAAAATATTGAAAAGGAGAAATTTTGAAACGCTTTTGCGTTCCTCCACAGGTTAAGTGTATCAAACGCTCACCATCAGCAGCAGGGGCATAGTAGTCCGGAGGAGCAGCATAGAAATGACCACTGGGTGGAGCGTAAGCAGGAGGTGCATTTGAGGGACGGAATCTACAAGGAAGCCTTTCGATAATCCAACAAATACGACTGAAACTATGATTCACCTTTCGGCTCTATCGACAGCTTCCAGAAGACAACGACCAAAATCGATGCAGCCACCCTTGTTGAATGTTAGACGCCAAGGAATCTCACCACTCAGCTGAGACCCAGGCATAGCTACTGCAATCCCTCTGAGGTAATTAGCACCTAAACGTTGCTTTGTCACCAAAAAGAAAAACAATGGACAATACATTTACATTTTGATATTAATCTCATCCGAAACACTAAGCTTACCAAGAATGGGCTGTTCCAAGTGCACATCTTGCATGGCAGAGAAAGGCATTTCAAACGACTGGAAACGTTTGCCACTTTCGGGCATGAATATCACACGATGTGAAGT